AAAGAGAAAATGTCACTGAGCAGTTTAGCCTATAGCAAGGGATATAGGGGTTTGTGCTGGCTTTCAAGCAATCTAGCTAGCAGATTGTGATTTGGCAGCTCGCTGCTACTTTGCCCGTTTCCCTGCTGCTCCAGGAATTGAGTAAACTGTGAGCTATCTGTTCGCACACGTCATAGCATATGCCTCCCCATGCACCAGAATTAGCACCCTGTTGGACAAGCTGCGTGGGCCAAGTCGTTCACCCCTCCTGCCCGCCTCAGCGTTTCCTAGGGTGCAGGAGCTCAGGGCTCTGCAGAGAAAGTGATGGGACTCCCTTATGCCTGCAAGGGAGGATATTTAAAGCTTCATCTGTATGAACCAGCTTCACTGCAGGCCTCTGTGGGAGCAGCAGTGGCACTGAGATTCAAAAAGAGCTGTCTAAAACAAGAAGTTTTATCAAATGTGCATCACTAAACATTCTGCAGAGTATATAGACTGTCACAGAGGTTTAGCCCTGCAGCAGACAGGTCAGACTCCTTGTCACAGCGCTCCTTGTCTCAATGCACCAGGAAAAAAGGCAAAGCAGGGAAAATAGGACCCTTATTTAGCCACAGCAGGTGCTAATAACCAAAAGGACTGTTTACCTACAAACTAAAAATAACCACTTATAAACATATGCATCTCTAAAAAGTATTATATCTACATGATATAATCAGGGATAAGTGCACAAAGCGACTATCAGGCAGGACTTACTAGAAGTGAAATCTCTGAGTTAAACACATATAAATCAATGCATCTCCACGGCCTTGAACGAGCTCACAAGAAATGACATGTGACCTTAGAGATCCCACCTACATCCACACACTCTCCCATTACAGAATCACAGAGTGGTTGAGGTTGGCAGGGACCTCTAGAGATCATCTCGTCCAGCCTCCTGCTCAAGCAGGGTCACCTAGAGGAGGTTGCCCAGGGCTGGGTCTAGTCAGGTTTTGAATACCTCCAAGGATGGAGACTCCACAGCCTCTCTGGGCAACCTGTTCCAGTGCTCAGCCACCCTCACTGTGAAGTGTTTTCTTGTGTTCCAGTTTGTGCCCATTTCCTCTCATCCTGTCACGGGGCACTGCTGAGGATAGTCTGGCTCTGTCTTCTTTGCACCCTCCTATCAGATATATATGCACACTGATTAGATCCCTCCTGAGCCTTTTCTTCTCCAGACTGAACAGTTTCAACTCCCTCAGCCTCTCCTCGTATAAGAGGTGCTCTAGTCCTTAACCATCTTTGCAGTCCTTCGCTGGACTCGCTCCAGTATGTCCATGTCCTTTTTGTACTGGGGAGCGCAAAACTGGAACCGCCACTCCCTCCACCTTCTGGCAACGCTCACCCGAGTGCAGCTCAGGATATCTTTGGCCTTCTTTGTCGCAAGGGCACAGTGCTGGCTCATGTTCAACTTGGTGTCTACCAGCACCCCAGGTCCTTCTCTGTAAAGCTGCTCTCCAGCTGGTTGGTTCCCAGCCTGTACTGGTGCGTGGAGTTATTCCTCCTCAGGTGCAGGATTCAACAGCATCTATAACTTAGACTAGAATAGAGAAATATTCTGAGATGAGTCTTTACTCATCACTCAGTTATCCATTAATGTCTGCTGTGTAAACAATCAGAAACAAGAGGAGCTGTGTATGTATTACACATTTCTGAACAAGTCATGCCTTATTTCTAGGACAAGCAATATATTAAACCCTAAAGAACCCTTTGAGAAGTGCCTGCCGGAGGTAACAACGAAAAAGTAACGATAGAAAATGAATACAAATCATTCATGAGAACGATTAAAAACAAACCACGGGTGAGGTGCAGCAAAACAACACTGAAAACAGCCAGTATTCTTGAGTATCTCTTCATTTACAGAGGGTGGAATGGTTGTCTGCAACTTTATGAAGTACTTTTTTGTGTTCTTCAGTGCACGGAAGACATACTGGATAGAAAATCAAGTGAGACCTGCCCAACTGCAAATCTCAGTTTATTCTGATGCCCCATGACTACAGCAGCCACTGAAGCAGAAATGCTACGGTGCTTAAAAAGACCAGGCTTAACCGATACATTAAGGACACCAGTGAAAGAAGGATAAATTAGACTCCCAAGGGCTAAATAATGCCGTGTCTCTTACATGGCAATGTCTCTTACATTCCCATGACCATTTTGGAACCCTAAAATCAAGTCTTGAAAGAGTTATAGCACCAAAATGTTCACAGTTTGTACCTACTCTAATACCTTAGTTGATAACCTAGCTTCTCAGACAAGCATGGACTTGCATACTACTTGCAAATCACTTTATGAGCATTTATTTTAGATGCCTTCAACTGTATGAAAATGCCAGTTTCAGGAAATGTTTTCAAAGCTTGTTTCCTAAAACTGCTTCAACGACCAACGTGGCCGAAGCTTTTTTTTTTTTTTTAGGACTCTTAAAATAACATCCTTGAGCTTCAATAACTGATTTTCAAAAATCTAGCCTCCATCACATCGTTGACCCTTGACTGGCCCAAATCTGCATCTTAAGACCTTTCAAGAGCTGATCTTGAAGACCATTTCAAGAAAGTAATATTCTTGTAAAAGATTTCGACCTTTGATGCGTCTCCTAGGTTGTTCTCATGAAGATAAATCTACATTTGGTCAATAAAATCATGCTAGACTCTACAATCAACACCATGTTTGACCTGGATTCATATTCAAGGGTATTTTTAGACTAGTTTCTTAAATAAGCAAGGTTTATGTGATTGTGTTCCTTTTATGTAAGTGCGCGCGCGTGTGTGTGTGTGTGTGTGTGTGTGTGTGCATGTGACTGCCTGTCTCTTAGGCCCCACCTACCTATTCTTGAACCTGTTGGATAATTTCAGATACACTGACATCTGGGTACACAGGGCATGGGTAGTTGGATAGAGCAAGACATTACCAGTGCTTCGACTGGTGGAAAATCAAATAAAGTCAGCATTTTAAAGCCATTACAGAATTCACACAAGCCAAAATCAGGTGTTATTCATTGCAACCACTCCTAGAAACGATATATGCTATCAGTTATTTTAATATTGCTACCAGTTTATGTACCATCATAAGCCTATATGACACGTGGCATGTGCAAAGCACAGAACAAAGTTTCTGCCTCTATTTTCTTATTTTAAGTACTACTCCTTTCTTTTCAGTTTGGCAAATAATTTACTTTAGTAATATAAATATTTGAGCTGCAAAGCACTAGAGCATTGAAAGATTTTGGCACTGTGTCGCAGTCGTGTATTATTTGCTTCATTACCAAAGGTAATCTCGGTATTTTTATTAAGCAGCCTGCACCAGCTGTGCTCAAGCTGAGGGCAAGGCATACCAAACAAGCAGCAAATTCTGAATTACGAACTACAAATTCAGCATTACCCACTACAAAAACTACAGTGCTCTGCAAAACACCTTTGATGTTGCAGTAAAGGCAAGTCTGTAACGGATGTAAAATCGGACTTTGGAGACAGAAGGTGCTCTGCTCTATCTCTAGCTGCCTGTTTCCAAATACACAGCTCTGCCCTCCCAGCCGAACAGCCCCTTTGAAGGTTTAGTTCTGGAGAATGTACAAGATTCTCCTTTGCCTTCAAAACAGACCTTTCCTTTGCTTTTGCCACAGGCACGAGGGATACCTTCTCCCCTGCTAGGTCCGCCAGCAGAAGCATATATGTAACCACTAGCTGGGCCTCAGTAGTGTCTCCAAACTCCAGCTCTCTCAGCAATGCCCTCATACTATTTTAAAACAAGGAAACTCCTCCACGCTCACATGAGCACAACAGAACAGCAAAGCAAGATGTAACCTACAGTGCAGACCCCTAGAAACTAGTTCCGCAGCCACCTGTTTTCATACACAGGGGAAGGGCCTTAAGAGCACTGGACAGCTCCAAGGTTTCCCCAAATTAGGAAAAAGCTCTGAAGATGGGCTCTCAAAATTAGGGGCAACAACACCCTCCTCTTGGGAACAGTGGAAAGCAAATAGGGAACCCTAGGCACTGGCAACCCTCAGAGGCCAAAGAAAAGGCATGAGAGAGGACGTATTTGCAGAGGTGTTGCATGTGCCAGCTGCACAGGACCTGAGCAATTTCTTTAAGGAAACAGAAAAGAAAGTGTCAATCATTAAAACACTGCTGGAAGGGAGATTTAACTTAACTCACAGACAGATTTTGATGTCTGAAGCCTGACTATGACAAGCAGCATGGAAATGTAAATACAGTGGTTGCTAATGGGCATAATGAACAGGCAGGCAGCTCTGATAGCACGTTCTCAGCGGGAAGGTATATTCCCTAGAGACTCCTTATCTTCCCCATCCACTTCTCTCAGCAACCATATGAATGCAGCAGGCAGATTTGCGAACCACAAGCATGCGACTGCTGGATAAGGACAGTGCATGCCCGTCAGGCCCTTAGCCGAAGCTGCTACCTGGACAAACTGAGGGAAGCTGACTCCTCTGGTTCCTCTCACCCACACTTCCACCTACTGCCGAGACACACAGTGAAAAGACACCTCTTTTGCTGCCAGCCCCATTTGCACTCTTCGTTCACTTTTCTGAGCCTGCCTTTATTTGCTGCTTTAAAAGCGCACAAAGTCTGGTTTTATTTACTCAGAATGATGTTTTATTTTGTCCTATCATCCAAGCAACTGCTGTCTTGTAAATCCCCAACAGATTCTTCCTACAGACAAAGAACCAAGCAGGCGTGATGCCAAAGGTAAAGGCACACTACTGAGAAGTCACAAAAGCAGAAGAAACACATGCAAAGCAAATCACACACAGTTATGTGTTAAAAACTAAAGGACTACTATGATGAAAATACACGTTATCCTAGCAGACAGACAGTGAGACTACTCAGTATGGCTTTTGAGTATATGTAGCCTGATCCATTTTTCCAGTGCACTTAAAATTCAGAGTACGTAACGTGCCTAACATAGGAGAGCTGCAAATCCCCAAGGACTGTGTTATTGTATATGCTTCTTCCTCAAAAATTCACACCACGGTGAATTGCACTTAGCACTGCATGCAGTTGCTGGCTAGGTGAGGTGGGATTTGCAGGAGCCAGTATGTGGGTCTCACAGTGAGCAGTCCTAGCTGGACATCCGGGGAAGGGCCTGCATCTCCGTTGTGCTGCTGCCCTACCCAGTGCCTTGACAGGAAACGCGAGGATACGGAGAAAGCATCCTCTTCCCTAAAAAGCTATCAAACACTAGTTTATATTCTGCTGAGAAAGCTAGTTGCTTCTCTTGGCTGAGGCTCCTCCCTTTCATGCACAGACATACACTGGAAGAGGGAGGGAGGAAGGGCAGGAGGGAGCATCATGGGGTCTATTGAGATAACAAAAGATTTGGGGCAGAGCCTGCCTCATGCTGTCGACTGAACACTGAGCCTTTTAATGCACGCGGATCCACACGCTAACTGAGATATTTCAGCCCTTTTGTATAGTAATAAAAGCAACAATAACTACTAGAAAATAATGGCTGTATGTGTATCTAACACTGTAACCTTCCTCTCCTGCTCCATTTTTTTGTTTACTAATTCTTGAACTACTAAAGATAATAGCTAATAATAATGACAATGTTGCAGAGCATGGAAACGAGGGCATTTGACAGACAATACCTTCAAAGTGAACAATGAGCTGCATGACAGCAGTGGATGTGGAGCTCCTGAACAGTAAAAACAGAATAAAACTCTGACCTTGCTGCTCCTCAGTGTTTAACGCTGATTAAAAGCATGAATGATTACCAGACAGTAAACTTACAGCTATTCAATGTATCTGCCTTCAAAACACAAAGGAGTGTATTAGCCCTAATGGAATTTGGACTTACGCTTCCCTAGAGGTTACATATTCAAACCTGGCATGTAAATAATTAAACTTTCTCTACACGTTTCCAAGATAGGAAGAAGAAATGGTGTTATTACTTAGGCTCAGTGTAACTATGCATAATCTTGGCCCTCCTTCCATCTTCCAAAGCTACTACAGGCGCAGCTGTAGCCTGGTCTGAGTTGCATCCATGCAGCAGTTCTTTTCACAGTCAGAGATCAGCCATATTTGAGCATCGGTTCCTGCTAGCCTCCCTAACTGGTTGCATTTTGGTGCTTTCTGGCGACCTGCTTCAGGGCCGTGGAGTGCCCGGAGACATTGGGGCAGGCCCGAACGCACAGCAGATGCAGCACCTTGTTCCTGGGCGTCCTGCAACAGCGAAAGCCGTGAGGAATCACTTACTCAGGCTGCTGAGGGTTCCTGCCCACACTGGAGAAAAATAACTGCTCTGACCACTCACTGGAAGATAACACTTACAGCATAGAAAAACAGACCTCAAGGCCAAGGTTTCCAAGTGAGTATTGAAATAGGGTTATGTTTAGAGCCAGCCACATCACTGATAGATTACAAACTTGCCCAAGAATACACTGCAGATAGGACACAAGGCTATCTATCTGAGAATATAAACATATATTCTTAGAATGCCCATTTTTTTGCGGGATTACATTTTAAATACAGATAGGCATTAAGATCTTAAACAGAATTTTGATTTTCCTGCATTACATATCACAGACATTGATTCTTTGTTATTTTTACTAAAACCCAACTCAGGCAACCCAGGCAACAAAGAACAAACTTGCGTTGTTCAAGGCTGAACTGAACCACAATAAAGCATTCCTGTGATAAGGGATCACATCCTAAGATCCATTGCTGAAAACTTCTGATTCTCGGTGACTAAACCATTTCCAAAATCTGACTTGCGAATGCCAGACAAAATGTCTTAATTGCGAGAGAGGAAAATAGATAACAACCGCTTAGTTTATAACAGTGAAATGCAAAGTGCTCAAGCGTTCTGTATTTTGAAGGTCACACCAGCAATGTGAACTATGAACTTCAGGATTCATGAATCCATGACATTTCAAAGCGGGAGGAGAGGAAATATTTTTCTGTCTTGCCCAAACCGCTAGATACAGCAGTGAGCAAACTACAAGCATTTTGATTCAGTAAAAGTAGCTGGGATCCAACACTGAATTTTAATGAATGGTTCTGATGAGAAAAAAAGCAACAACTAGGCACCAACAAGACAATAATCCACAGTTTCAATCTATTTTGTATAATCAGAGAGTATTTTGTGACCTTATTTGTATGGGACCAGTACCTGCCTTTTGCAGTAGGAGCACTATTTTAAAAGGTACCTCTTAACTTAACGATGCAAATTTATATACTATAAAATAAAAATTTAATCTGTCTTTGTGCTACTAAATCATAACTCTTTGGAGTTATTCGTTATGTCAAGTAGCACCAAATCAAGGGTCTCCGTTTCCCTTTTGGGGTGGTGTTGGCAGCGGTATATTTTAACACTTGTAATTTATTAACCTCAGAGCTGTCGTAGCTTGAAACTAAAGCCACAGAAAGGAGGCATTTAGCAAATTATACATACTTTTTCACAGCAGAGAAGTTCCTGCTGTGCTTTTCTCGCCTCCCACATTTTTATGATTTTTCCCCTCCCAACGATTGCCAAGTCTGATAAATTTTGGAGAGATCCTTCCTTATTTTGCACTAAACCTCTTTATCACGTTTTAAAAAGTGTTGCTGCGTAAGTGTCAAAGAGATATTTAACATATCCTGAAGAATTTTTAACTTCTTCACATGGAGACAGCGAAGTCCAAGAGAGTCAGTCGTGCACGACATTTCACAGGACAGCGTCCTGGCTACAAACACTTGCTATTCCACAGGCTGAGAAGAGATGTATAACTAGGGCAGCAGCCATGATGTAGGAGGGTCTGGTTAGAAGAAAGCGGTGTGAGAAACGCAC